ATATGCCGGAAACTGATGTTTGGATTTAGCCAAAAGTATTTGCTGAATTTCTTCCATTTTGTTGATGTCTGGATTAAAAGCAGCAAATTAAAAATACATTTTAAAACCCGTACTTGTAAAACTACAGTCTCTGTTTTTCAAAATCTTATATAAATGACAAAACTTTACTAACGTTATCAAAGGATAGACATCCAAGTTGAAATTCCTGTTTGAGAACCACAGCAATACTGTCTCTTTTCATCAAAGACAGAGAAAAATTTCAAGTATCAACCCAGAGAGTCTTCCATGCACACAGCCTTGACTTTCACCTGTACATGCAGCACCTCCCTAAAAATGTCCTTCTCAATGAGAAAAATTAAAAAATGCTGAATTCCATTACGCAGACTGATGATGCATTTACCCAGCACACAGTAATTCTCCATTCTGCTTTTGTCTGTAGGATTACAAACCCCTCAGTAAACGCAGTCGTTAAGGAGAAGGGAGGGGATCTCCAGCACCCTTCCCTGCCCTCCCTAACCACAGGGAGCAGAACAACACGATGTGAAGCAGAGATTAACTTAACTTGTAGGCTTTGTTTTAGAAGCTTTACCAGAAATTCCAACTTTTAATTTGTCAAGTATATTTGAAACTAGAAAAGCAAAAAGAAATCATCATTCCTCATATCTTCCAGTGGAAAAAAACAACCACTTAGCTTGTCTATTTTTTTTGCCATTAATTCATCTATGCATTCATTTCATAGGCTTTCACTTACAGAAAGTCTTTCTGCATGTTTGTTTTTCCCTGTCCTTTCTTAAGTAGCAAACCTTTCAAATTCTTTAAAATAGTTAAAAGCCTCACTGTGTGTTGTTACACTTGAGAGAAACTACGACAGAGGACATGGACTGGATTAAGAACTGACGCTCCACGTAGAGGAAGACTTTCTGTATAAGGTTACATTTGGCATTTCAAAATGTTTTCAATTTCTGATACTCATTCTAATTACTGAGTCTTGATTTTTATGTTTTAATTATATTTTCAGAATACATTTTCCAAAATCCGTGACGCTTTTGCTAAAATCAGACTTGTTGCTGACAGAAATCACCAGTAATGAGCTCACTTCCTTTACAATAGACTCAGCATCCAGATGGTCTGTGAAAATGCACGAAATACCCTTAAGCTTATTGAAAGAATCTATCCTTCAAGATGCCTTTAAGAGTCTTTGCTAAAAATAAACAAATGAATAAAAGCACATCTCTACACAGTACATTCAGGTTTTGTACTAAGCAATGAGAAACCTTCCAATCAATTCCTTTCCTCCTCTCTTTTCCCTTTTGTTTGTATCAGTTGACCAGGAAATATTTGAAAACATAAACCGTTCTTCATCCAGGTGTTCCCAGAGACAGCTCCCCTCAAGGGTTATCATTAAAGCACCTTCTCAAAATGGGGATTTAGCTTCTCAACTTAGTTCTCCCAACTGTGAGATGAAGCTTCCCTCAAATGATGGCTCTGAACTGCACTACGCCAGCGGGCTACAGCTGCAGCCAAGAAGCCATCCTTTTATCAGTACGCTTATTAGCATTTTTGAGATGTGTAATTATTATCCGCTAAATAACATAGATACAAAATGAAAAAATGTTACTTAAGCATTTGACAATAACAAGAAATGCTCACGGTCTCGTAACTTCCATGTAAAACTTCCGACTGCTCAGAAAAAAAACCAAAAGAAAACACAGTCTGTATCACAGTTTATTACAAACTTTAAAAAAAGTTGATGGTTGTCCAAACCAGGGAAAAAAAAGTCATTTAAATACCATACTGAAGTGGCAGTATGTTAGTAACTTGCTTAACTTACTGATTAATAGCAGCTAATTAAAATGTCAGCCCTCTAGAACTTTAACAGCTCACAGCTTTCACTCTTCTTTCTGTGCATGTGAAGTTTGGATTTCTTCCCAGTATAACTGCTTTAGTAAAAGCTGGGGACAAAATATATTGCAAAAACAAATAACCTAACATGTTATTTACTTAGAGGCTTCTTCTCATTTTTGTGTGACAATATTAAAATTAAATTAGTCTCTCAACTAAGAAATCCCTGAAGAATAACTCAAAGTCTTCAATAACCAGAAGAGCCTTTCCTCAAAAGAGCAGGAAAGTCTCACCTTTCGTAAGCTGCCGCGGAACGACACTGCAAGGAGCAACTACAAGTATCAGCAGCCTCATATACATTCACCAGAGTTTCTAAAACACAGAAATGCTACCCAGTTAATCAGCATGTAAATAGAAGTAAGAGCCAGGGCAACCTGAAATTACTTTAGCTATCATTTACAAATATAAAAATCTAAACCTCTTTTAAGAGTAAATTAACTGACAACTACCCAAAGCAAGGCTGTCTCCACCTTTTAAGAATACTGAGGCCAGACGATCTTTTGCCACATAACCACAGCCAAAAGGTAGCTGTGTTCCGTGAGAAGCAGTGATTGCAGAGCATCATTTGATGAGCTAGTGTCTATGAGGCAAATTATAGCAAAACAATCATATATCTCTGCCTTGCCATATATATTGATTGGACGTCAGACAAATCCTTTCACCAGTCCAATAATTTTCCTCTGTCAGCTCGTTTAATGAAAACAGGAAGGCGAAGAAAGGAAAGTCACCTTACACGTATTTAAGTTATAAACCCATAAACCGCATTGAGATAACTACACTTGCGAGCTTAATTCACACCCTCAAAAGGAAATAGCTATGACAGGAAAGTAGGCACAATTTATTGCGGTTTTTTAGGAATGCTTGTTAAATCCAAACATCTTGTTGGCCTTCTGAAGGCCAAAAGGCTGAAAAACCTCCAAAATTGTGTTGCTGAATTTAACTATGTCCTCTGCTAAAGTATTTTCCATACTTGAAAAAACTAAGTTTACAACATCAAGTCAAATTGAAGCACATAGATAGTATCATATAGCAATACATTATATATCATCTTTGAAGAGCCTTAACAACTGCAATGTTAAGGAAAGCAGCTGGTGAATTTGGGAGCGTAAAGAGCTTTCTGATTTCTTTGCAACAGCGTGCTTGTGATTATCACCGTGGCTAGGTGATGAAGTCTGTGAGACACAAGGTTACTGAGCAGTGTGCAGGTAATACGTGGCACCGGCACACTACGCCGATAGCAAATTCCCTCAAGTGTTATGTAGATTAGGCCAAAATAATGTCTTGGTCAATCTTTAAAACTGAAGTTCCTCTTATGGGTCTTTTGACCTGGATTCAGTTTAAAGGAATGTCTTCCTTAAATCTTTTAAATAAATAGTCTTTAAAGCTGGCTGACAGCAGCTTATTCCATGTTTTACACTTAAAAGACGACACAACAGTAGTAAGGAAAAATTCCCTTTTGTCGTTGCTTCTGAATAGAAAAGTATGGCCTTGATATGCTGTAATTGCTGCCGAGCACTTGTTCCAGCTCTTTTGCCACAGTTTAGTCAGGATTCATTTCCCCTTTCTTTGAATTGGGCCTTTCAGAGCGAAACAAGCAACACCTGGAAACTGAAATACAAAAGAACCGAATGTTTCTTTGTGCCGCTGAGTCAGGCAGTAATTGCGCTCGACTGACGAAGTGGCCGTGGTACACCCAGCACAAGAGACACCCAACTCAATCCAGACGCTCGACGGAGCTCTGCTCCTCCTCCGCACAGACAGGTCTACTCCGAAGGGCTCCCGCCCGCTTCTGCAGTTCAAACTCTCCCTGCAAATGAGCCACATGGTTTAGAAGACGATCCTCAGAAAATGCCTTTTCCAGAATTACTACAAAATACACTTCTCTTTAAAAAGCCAAGAAAACTAGTATCTACAGATGAACTCCTATTAAATTTCACTTGGATAATCCTGAAAAAGTTTCAGCAAAAGGAGAAGGACAGCAGAGCGCTAACAGTGCCCCAAACCAAACCACCTTCCTAGCCCGCACGTGACAAATTAACAGACAGATTTGAGCGGAGATGTTCTCTCACACACACCCCCTGCCCGAAACAACAAACCCAAAACTTCTGAAGTCAGATTTCCCTTCTTTTTCACTTACTTCCAAGCAGCAAGTCCATTAACCCCCAGTGTATTACACATTAAATACATTCACCAACATCAGCACTCCATCGCTGCCACTGATGGGAATCCACAGACAGACTTCGCTGCCCTACCGAAGGGGTAATGACATACTTGGGACTGTCACAAGTTAATTGGCAGACGGCATCTGCTTCTTGGGGTTTTCTTTGAATTTCATTTTTGCTTTGGCTTGTTTGTTTCTCTCTTTCTTTTTAAAACTGTGTAAGCATTGAGATCAACGTTCAAATACAAGGGGAGAAGGTTCTAGAGGGAGAGTTTGGTCTGTTAAGGAATTGCCACCACACTTCCCCCGCAGATGAAAATATAGAGAAAGGTGAAAGACTAGCAATTTTCGTAATTTTTGTAACAGAGCATTTCTTGAAATTTGGGCGTCACTTTCAAGCCAGAGTACATATCATTGGTTTATGCTGTAGCCATAAATACTTCCTGCCGAGTTACTGGAAATACAATTTTCTCTCTGCCTGTCGTGGTAAAAGTCACCGTGCTGGTGCCCAGTACAGAAGGGTATACGCGGAAGATCATTCTCGGTGCTTTAATGAGTATCAGTCAAAGCGGGATGTATTATGAACTCTGTTCCCCTCTTCTTGGCCTCTCTGGCAGTCCTTAAAAATCAGCATACCGATTCCATTCAAGTGGTGTCACTGGTGAGTTTTCAAAGGCGGGGGAGGCAGGGAAGAGAGGGGATGAATCGAGTTAACTTCACCCACAGGAAGTGGCTCAACTCTTTGCCGTGAGCGCTCAGACCACAGCCATCGTGCTTTAAAAAGAAGCTTGACTCTGACTTACAGTCACACTTAAATTCCTTTTTCCATATAGATTTAAGTGGCACGAGTGAGTTCTACCACGTGCAGCGTTTTCCGACAGAGACAAATGCTCTTCAGCCAGAGCCTCGCGCTGCCTGGCTGCTTCTGCTGCAGCCTCCTGTTATGAGCTCGTGACGAGATCCGGGGGCTGCGCTAACCCCAAACCTCCACTTCAACGATACTGTGAGATCCCATGTCACAATCTGAGGAAACAAGTTTACAGTTGTCTGTGGAAAAACTCGAGCACTTGTGAAAAAAACCCCAAACAATCCATATTTTCAAGGTATCAGGGTGTAAACTTCTGGAGAAGGCATCACTGAAAAATCTCTCTTTCCCAACCACTACTTGAGACTTCAGTGCCCTCAGTTGTGCTCAGGACCTGGCTCCAAACTGGTCTCACTGTTTTCTGTAGCACATCCTGACCGTTAAGCTCGAGCAAGAGTGGTAGAATTAGATCATAGTCTACAGCGCTTTATATGTACAGAGCAAATGTGTTTTAATATGTGAAACACTTTATGGAACTGCAGTAGATTGTAACTGTCTCCTTCATATGACATAACCTTTATATGCCATCTCCTTGCCAAGCAATGATTAACATTACATTTTAAAATGTTTTAATC